ACACACACAAAGACACCCAGAGACACACACACACAGACACACAGAGACACACACAGACACACACAGACACACACACAGACACACACAGACAGAGACACACAGAGACACACACACAGACACACACACAGACACACACACACACACAGACACACACACACAGACACACACACACAGACACATACACACAGACACTGACACACACACACAGACACACACACAGACACACACACACAGACACACACACAGACACACACACACAGACACACACACACAGACACACAAACACAGACACCCGCACACACAGACACACACACAGACACTTACACACACACAGACACGCGCACAGACACACACACAGACACACACACACACACACACTTGTGGTATTTCCCAGAGGAAAGTAGTCTGATTCCGTCTGCATCTTTTCCGTCATCTTGCAGAGGCCTCTGACATATCTTTTGAAGTATGGGATCAGCCCGTAGCCACCCATGTTCATGCGACAAGCAAAGTCTGGTGAGCCAAAGTACACTTAAGCTGAGCGGAAGCAACAGCCAGAACAGCATCACTTTCTCCGATTGGGGAACCAACAGCTGAAATCATACACATCTCCCTGCAGGTACACGTGGGTGATCTGCCCACGTTTCCCTCACCATACCACAGCTTCGTTGCGTCAGGTAGGTATGGCGAGCCTGACGCCCCTGCTGGAAAAAACCGGAGCCGTGGTTTCCAACTCCGCGTTCGACTGTATTGTTTTCGCGGCGGCCCCAAGCCAACCAATGTCGTCGAACTGTTCAGATCCGAAAATTCGGAAGAAAACCGAAAAGAGGGGCCCTGTCAAACGTGTTTACAGATCCAACTTGCGCGGCTTCGCGGCTCCAATCAAAAACGGACGGGTGCGAGCGTCGGACCTTAGTGCGTATCTGTTTTGAGTGGGACTCCTAAACCAAACAACGTCGTTGAACTGTTCAAATCAAAAAGAAGAGAAACTAAACAGGAACTGCCCGGTCAAGCGTGTCTCCGGACGCAATTTGCGTCGAATGTCTTTGCGACCAGACGTACACACACACACATGTACTCCATGTAGGAGTAGTCAGCATCGTTGAGAGCTTTATCTGCGGCCTCTTTGAAGCCCTGGAGTCAGGAATTTCTCACCGATTACAACTCCACCCAAAAAAACGACTTCAAACGCTTTAAAGTACCTCCTTGCAGTTGTGACACGGTGTGTGTTGAAGTCAGGCTCCCAAAAAACAAAAAGTCCGGGGGTCGTCAGACGAGTCGAAAACAAAACGGCCAAAAGAAGTTCGGAACCGCTTACCCAAGGTCGTTACTTAGTGCATCAAAGAGATCGCCCGAGACGGCCACATTTCAGAGGCACATTTGAACAGCACAAAGAAAGAAAAGGAAGCTTGCGCCTGTTGACTGCTTCAAAACATCAGTGGCTCTGCCTTCAAGCCCTCCTGCCTTGGCACTTCCACACGCACAACCAAGCCTAGCTAGCGGCAGGCGGCACGACCCTGAAAACACTATTTCCTACAACTATCAGAGCCGGGCCACTTCTCGAATAGTGCAAAGTGGGGAATATGAGCCGAAGCGCGGGTAGCACGCCAATGTTTTATCGAGGCTGAGCCTGGCGTTTCGCCAGAAACTTGTTTGCTAGTGTCCGCAGAGGTGGAACGGGAAATCCATTTGCGCCTGACAAGTTCACCAACGCGCGCACATCTTGCTGTGCTTGTCGTTTGGGAAAGCTGTGCCTGGATGCAAGGCTCATGCGGGGTTGAGCCGGTGAAATTTTATGAGCCCATGTGCCAGCGCCATTGACTGGGCGAAATGCAAAAGTATCACTCGGGAGCAGAAACCGAACCGTGCGCATGTTTGTGTCTATGGCACAGCCTAAAAACTCGGCACATTCTCCAGCTGCACTGGGGGAATGTAATAGTCCAAATGACAGAGTTGTCGGAAAATTGCAGATCTACACAAAGCTTTTCAAGCCAAAAATAGTCGATTATCTACGTAGCGCAGGATCAACAGGTCCCCTTTGCGCTGCCGCAGAAAAACTGCACTCTGCTCGACCCACTCTTGCTCAGTCCGTGAAATCGTGAGACTTGCCAGGATGGGTGAAACCTGTTTCCTATGGCGGATCCGCGGACTTGTTGCACCGCCTTGCCCATTTGCAGAAAAATGGACTCTTTCATGCTGACGTCAAACAGTCGAACTGTCATAGGCTTCCGCGCGGCCTTGCGAACTCTGCATCGAAAAATGCGGAGTTTGACGTTCTTTTCTTTCAGAAAGACAGAAAACACAGTATTGGCATCAGAGCGGTGCTTGTTGGAATATGTGTCCACAGCCCATCTTACAGCGGAAAGAATGCGCCCCACAGGGATCGAAGTGAAGAACCCCGTTAAGTCATGGTTCCAGAAGCATAAATCAGCATCGTCCGCGAGTCCTGAAAAATCTCCGGCATGGTGCAAAGGCCAAAGGATTGTGGCACGACTTCTCGCATGATTTCTGTAAGTACCATTGCCAGCGCTTTGAACAGTCGTTCGAATATGAAACCACAATATGAAATAATTGGTCTTGCTCCGAGAAGCTACTTCTTCTGTTTCAAAAGAATATATGATGATGGCGGGCGAGCCGCCAGCCGGATTCCCCATCTGTACGGCCGCAGCCAGGACTCCGATAAAACTCTCTGTCTCCAAACGTCTGAAGAAGAACTCGGTGATACAGCCACGGGCAAAAAATGTGACAGTGTGAAACAGCATGGTCTCTTCCATGGAACACCATGCCTGGCGCAGCGGACTTGATGTATTTAACATTTGCCATGCTCCATGGTACCTTGGCGTGCTTCAG